TAGCCCTGCTTTGGGCAAGCAGAGCTAAAAGTACAGCGGGGAAGCCAACACTTGTTTTATACAAGTGATCCCAGCAATGTCGCTGAGATCACTTGTATGCAGCCTGCAGGTCTGCCATTCTCCATGGATGGGGGGGGTTTGGCGGGTAGGGGGACGCATTGAGGAACCTGGCCTCGGGGCAGCAGAGAGAGTAAATCCGGCCCTGATAATAAGCAGCAGATGTGAAGAGGAAACTAAACTTGACCCTGCTTACAGTCTGCCTTCCCCCGGTCTCCTTCCTCCCCCATCATCAACATGGTAATGACATGTTTAAATAAAACCTTTCCATCTTCATGACATATCTTATTTCAGTCGTAGTGATGTCATCACTGGGCCTCTGTGCTTCTCTGTGCACTGCGAGCCAAGCTTGACTGGTGGGAGGGGCCAGCAGGGGGATGTACATAACTTCCGGAAGACATCACAGCAGTGGGCTGGTTCTTGGGAGGAGTTATGCAAATATATTAGAAATGCCATTGTAACTTCATTGTAACAGTTGTCACTGGAACAGGAATGGATGGAAAATCTTCCAATCGGGACCACAGGGTTAGGAAAGATTTCCGCTCACTTCCTTCCAAACCATTTACAGTGATTACCTCGGTTCACAAACTTAATTAGTTCCACAATTCTGGTCGCGAACCAAATGAAACTGCGATCCGACCGCGATCTCGACTAGACGAAGCCGCGACTACGTGTCAGAGCAGGGAAGATGGCTGCGGTTGCGCTCGTCACACGATGCGGAGTTCGCGAATGGAAGCAACATTTTGCCGAACTTCCTGTTCGTGAACCGAATTGTTCGCGACCAGAAGCGTTCGTGAACCGAGGTACCCCTGTACATGCAATAGGAAAATACCGCTGCAGTTATTTTCATATCTTGGCTTTTCCAGTGGAAAAAATTAGCAAGGCCCCTCCCCTGCCTCCTGAGCTCTGCTATTGGCCAGTCAGAGGGAGGCTTAGAGGCGAGGCTAAGTTTACAAGAACAATAAAGATCAGCTTGTAACTTCAGCTGCCCATATTCCTAGAACCGCTGATCATTTCAGCATCCAGTTGTTGTACACGATGACCTTTGACCGTTAAGTTGTAATTCGTTTGCTCAGTTTGAATCTCCCAAATTTGTCAGTGACATCAGGCCGCTCTCAGTACCTACGTTCAACCAAGTCCTAAATGTGAACGAGTCATTCTCTGCTTTGTCCATACTTCTCCGGGTTTATCAACCTTGCAATGGCACCTCAGAGATGCATAATAATGTGGCCAAAGAGGCCGCTTTAGCATGCCTTAAGTGCTGCCTGAAGCCTGATGTTCATGGGCGGTAACGATACAAGATCCGTAACTTACGCAGAAGATGTGAAGCAGTACGGCGCCTTGCTGCCGCTCGCTGATGCTGAACAGGTCATCCGGAAACTCAATAATTGCTGTGGAGAGAGAGAGAGAGAGACACAACGATTCCATGAATTGATCAGAAGATAAATATCACGTTTTATGGCAAAAAAGGAAACAAAATATAACAATGAAAAGATGAAACAGCTGCTGAGGTAGAGGAGGCAGAGCGCCGGAGCTGCACAGTGATTGTGCTTTCTCTTTTTGAATGCGGATAGAAAACAGTGAGGGGGCTCTTCTACCAATGATCACCAATGTAAGGGGGAGCTTCTACCAATGACCACCAATATAAGGGGGCGCTTCTCCCAATGACCACCAATATAAGGGGGCGCTTCTCCCAATGATCACCAATATAAGGGGGCGCTTCTCCCAATGACCACCAATATAAGGGGGCGCTTCTCCCAATGACCACCAATATAAGGGGGCGCTTCTCCCAATGACCACTTATACAAGGGGGCCCTTTTCCCAATGACCACCAATATAAGGGGGCCCTTTTCCCAATGACCACCAATATAAGGGGGCCCTTCTCCCAATGACAGGCAATATAAGGGGGCCCTTCTCCCAATGACAGGCAATATAAGGGGGAACTTCTACCAATGAATGCCAATATAAGGGACCCTTCTTCCATAACCAGCAATATAAGGTGGTCCTTCTCCCAATGACTACCAATACAAGGGAGTCCTTGTACCAATGGCCACCAATATAAGGACGCCCTTCTCCCAATGACCACCAATGTAAGGGGGCCCTTCTACCAATGATCACCAATGCAAGGGGTGCCCTTCTCCCAATGATCACCAATATAAGGGGGCACCTCCACCCATGACCACCAATGTAAGGGGGCCCTTCTACCAATGACCACCAATGCAAGGGGGCCCTTCTACCAATGACCACCAATGCAAGGAGTTCCCTTCTCCCAATGATCACCAATATAAGGGGGCACCTCCACCCATGACCACCAATATAAGGGGGCCCTTCTTTACTGACTACCAATATGATGGAACACTACAATGTTCGCTGTCTACATTTCTGGCCATTATTATTATCATCATTATTATTATGTTATTCATAAATTTTATTACTACTGAAAATATTTTATGATCGGGGGTTCCTTGAGAACCTCAAAGTTATTTCAAGGGTTCCTCTATGTTACAAAGGTTGAGAAAAGCTGATCTATAAGGACCCCCAGATCCTTCTATAGGGGGTCACCTATACTAGGATAACAATTGTGAATGGATGTTGTAGTCAAAAGTGAAAAAAGAAACATATATATATACAGATTATTAATACATTGTATATTCACATCCAGTGAATGTATCTCCCTGCGGAATGAATACTCGTCCAGATTTAGTATTCCTCCGCTGGCTCCTTCCCCCTTTCCCGGCAGTAAACCTGCCGCCGCCCTGGCATTCTATGATTCTATATATTCCCCGGCAGTGTGGATCCGATGCATTGTATCTGTCAGCTGTGTGCGCCCGGCTCACGCTTAACAAGCTGCTGGAATTTTAGCTCATTACCGCCAACATTCTGTGCAGGACTGACAGAGCAAG